CCAGTGGCCAGGGTCAAAGAAATCACGTGGAAGGCAGCTTTGTAACCCTGGAGCTTTACAGGTTTAGGGGTACCCCTACCACCCCCCCATGTTGTCCTTGTCCCGATCAGTAACCTCCCAGCCAGATCCTGACCCCAGCCGACAGTCCCTCCAGCCACCGACCTTGAGCACTGGCGTGCTCCCCACACACACACCTGCGGGGCTCACTCCCTTGGAGTCTCAGCTCCCATAAGGACCGGGGGCTAGGGGCAAGTGTGAGCTCAGGAGAAAGTAGGTGGCCCGGGAGGAGGTGGGGGCCTTCACACAGTGCAGGAGCACTGGCTGGCCTCGGGGACTTGCACTTGACCACGCCCTCCACACTTAAGACTTCTTGCCGGCCACAGTTCTGTGGGCCATGGGCCAGCCCCTGGGACAGTCAGTGCACGGAGGACCACTGGCCTCTTCACGGTACTGGCTGTGTGCAGGGAGGGTCCGCCCGCCTTGTCAGCTGTGACAGGCATGGCGGCGGGGAGCCGGGCCCCTACCTGGGCCGCGATCCCTCCCAGGCCAGTGGTGTCACCCCCGCTGCTGGCGTGTGTGCCTGTGGTCCACGTGATGGACTCGTAGTTGAAGATGGTGAAGGAGAACTTGCCGTCAGTGATGAGCACAGTCTGGAACGTGTTGACCTGCCGAGGAGGGAGGTCTGAACAGGGCTCTGCACCCCAGTGTCCACGCCGCAAGGCCCTGCCCCCCTCCGGCATCCCTTCGCGCACTGTCATCATCCACCGGCTGTGTTCCCGACCGGGTGGTCAGCCATCTGCCGTCAGGCTGACGGCCTCGTCCCCGTCCTCCACCGTGTCCCCAGCGTCTGAGGCCCCGGCACGGGCCAGACCCCCAATATCTGTCGCCTGGTGAGTGAGACACACCGAGGGGTCATGAGGGCCCACGGACGCCAGGAGCAGACGCTGCGCCCTGTGGTGGCTGGGGCACAAGGGTGAGCATTGACTGGGCCAGATCCGCACCACTGCCTTGTGTGAAACAAAAAAAC